GTTGTAACATTAGTAGGATGATCTTTCAAGGCAGAAAATGACTTTCTTTTTTCCTTTTTTTAAATATCACACATAAATGATATATTGGTGGGTAGAGAATATTTGGATCATGGACTTATCTTCAGAACTCTATATATCCTACGCTTTGACTTTGATGTTGGAAATGACCACTTGGAAATGCACCTTTCACTCTCTGCCCCTTTGGTCTATTGTTGGTATATCTGTGCCTGTGTATGTGGTGATAGTGGGAATACTTGTCTTTTTTTCAGTAGTTCCCACTGTGACTCTACTCTCTCTTTTTCAGTAGTTCCCACTGTGACTCTACTCTCTCTAGGTATCCCCAGAAGAAGATCTGGATTGAAAAACCTATCAGTCCTACAGTCAAAAAGCTGGCAGAAGAATTTTCAGATAAACTTCTCTTTTTAGAGGAAGAACTTGGAGGATTCCATGGTAAAGGAAGGGATTCTAAGCTCAGGGAACCTTTTTATCTCTATGTTGTTTCCTTAGGTTTTGATTCTGGCCTTGGCTTCTCAGAGTTTCTTCTTGTTGTGCAAGTCATTGATACCAGGGAGGGACATTGGGGAGGGGATCTAAGTAAGTCTAGAGAATCTTTTCATGTGATGGAATAAGAATGTTACCTAGATTAGCATAGAACCATAGTCAATTATGTCCCAGTGTTGGAAAAAAGATGTTTCATATCTAAAATTAAGGTAAAATAATATTTGGGTGCTAAGGAAAACAGTATGGCAGTTACTCAAAAAATTAAAAATGTAATCACCATATGATCCAGCAATCTCACTTCTGGTTATACATTATATCTAAAAAAAATTGGAAGCAGCATCTCTAAGAGGTATTGCACACCCATGTTCAGAGCAGCATTATTCACAGTAATAACCAAGTGGTGGAAGAAACCTATATGTTCATCAACAGATGAATAGATAAACAAAATGTGGTACATACATGCAATGGAATATTATTCAGCTTAAAACAGGAAGGAAATTTTGACACATGCTATAACATGGATGAACCTTGAGGACATTTTGTTAAGTAAAATAGTCTAGTCATGAAAAGACAAATACTGTATGATTCCACTTATAGGAGGTATCTAAAAGAGCCAATTCATAGAAACAAAAAGAAGATTGGTGGTTGCCAGGGGCTGGGGAGAGGTGGAAATGAGGAATTGTTATTTAATGGGTATAGAGTTTCAGTTTTGTAGGATAGAAAAGTTACAGAAATTGGTTGTGCAACAATGTAAACATATTTAACAGAACTGTACACTTTAAAATGGTAAAGATGGTAAATTTTATTTATCATAATTAAAAATTAAAGAATTTTTTAAAAAGAATATTGGGAGAATTAATCTCAAAGAGGTACCTTTGAGAAGGGAAATAGTGTGATTTAATACTAGGAATGTAGGATTTAGTTAAAGAACAGAGAATATGCCCCAAGGTACTCTTTATTGTTTTGTTTTGGGGTTATTTTGGTTTTTGTTTGTTTGTTTGTTTTTTGGTGGCTGGCTGGTATGGGAAACCTGTGAGCTTGGTGTTACCAGCACCAGCCCCCAACGTACTCTTTAATGAAGTGCTAGGTGCTTTGGCAGATGTTGGTGTGAATGTCTGAATGAACCACTTTATTTTTTTTTATTTTATTTATTTTAAAGATCACCAGTAAAGGGATCTTAACCTTTCACTTGGTGTTGTCGGCACCATGCACTCCCAAGTGAGCTAACCAGACATCCCTATATAGGGATCTGAACCCGTGGCCTTGGTGTTATCAGCACCACACTCTCCCAAGTGAGCCATGGGTAGGCCCTTGAATGAACCACTTTAGACCGGACAACTCTGGGTGTTTCCTGTGTTGATTTCTCTCCTTCACTTGAACTTTCATAGTGCCCTGTCACCTTTTAAAGTTGTATTAGCCGCCAGTAAGAGAATTTGACCTAGAAAGATGTGGTGTCAGAATCGCTTACTGTCTTTTTCTTTATTCACTCTAGGAAAATTGATAAGGGATCTGGAATATGAGACAAGTGAGTATCTGGAGGGGATGGTATACTGATGTTTGTCTCAAACAAAGTAAACTCTCCTACCCACATTGCAGTTTCCGTGTGAAGCTCCTTTACTTACGGATCAACTCTTTAAACAGAGAAGTCTTTGTCATAGCTCATCTATCTAAATTCTTTACTCTGACTCCTCAGATTTCAAAAGCATGAGCCTTTTGGAAAAGCTTTCCTCAGCTATAACAGTCCCAGTCCCTTTCTTTTTCTCCTCATAAATTTCATCGTGCTGCTTGTGCCCTTGAATTTTCTCCACGCATTCTCTCCATTTTGTAGATATAAGAACCAACAGTAAGTAGTATGAGCTCAAGGTCTAAGACAATCTCTATGCTTATCCCCAAAGGTAGTCATCCCACCATTGTCAGAAAAGCTGCAGAGACTATGGGAAAAATCTCCTGTAATATCTTTTATGATGCCATCCCTTTATCGTTTTTTCCACACAGTGAGGATCATCCTGAATTTTCAGACAGTTAATGGCTACATCTCAGTATCTCCGAATGGGAAGAGTATAATATTTACTGGTTTGTGGGTGAACAAATACCAATATGGTCAGCAATTTGATCCTGAACCTGGTGTGCTGGGCAGTAAAGGCTTCACCTGGGGCGAAGTGTACTGGGAAGTGAAAGTGGATAGGATCTGGTGGGGAGCAGAGGAGGAAGCAGCAGCAGTGGGATACAGGGTGGAGCCAGAGGTAGGAGTGGCAGTAGCTGTCTTGGTGCATTCTTAGGCATCGCTGCTGGGTACAGTTCTCCTGTATATAGAAATGAGGATGAAGAGTTGTGGAGGAGGAATGGTTTCAGGAAAATATGGCCAAAATTCTGCCTAGTGAGGCTGGCAAGAGAGTCAGTGGTGAGAAGAGGATTTCTCAACTTCACCCCTGAGGAGGGATTCTGGACTCTGCAGCTGTCTTCAGCTGGGGTCTATATATGTACTAGTCCTGAGCCTTTCCAGATCCTAACCTACTGTCCAAGGCAAACTGGAGTTGCTTTGGATTATGATGGAAGGAAGGTAACCCTTACCAGTGCTCGAACTCAACAGTGTATCTATGAATTCTCATTTTCCTTCACTGGGAGAATTTTTCCTTTCTTATGGCTTAATTGCATGAGATCCAGACTTACACTGAAACCCTGAGAAGACACCTCATGGGCACAACCCTAGGTTTTTTTTCATTTATCCTTTATTCCTCTACATCGTTCCCAACTTTCTACCTCAGCTAGATTGTCCTGCTGGGTTTCTCAATCTCCTTAGCTGGTTGGAACGGTATAGTAGAGTCAGGAGTCTCTTATCCTCTCTGCCATGTCTCTATAATGGAAAAAACACTTGATCCACTTTATCTACAGTAGAAGGATCGAAATGTTTTTAAAGTCCCTATTAAAATGTGTGCTATTAATCTTTTTCTTCTATTGCCATTAATTTGGTTCTTGTCTTCATCTGCTACTAAGACAAAGGTATGAGGAGCACCTGTGTCACAGGATTGCTACCTCTGCCACTAACAGTAATTGATCACAGCATCCACATGGATTACTAAAGGGCCTTTCCTGTCACGTAATTTTTCCTGCCATCCTTCTAAGCATCTTGGAAAACAGTAAATATTTTGATGCAATTTATGCCTGATCAAGCATTTGATCTTTATACATTCCAATACTTGAAATATCTGAGGGTAGGAATTGGTTTATTTATTTCTATGTTCTCATAACTTTTACAATAAGAAGGGGCAGGGAACCATGTGAGGCTCAGTGTATATGAGTGTTTGGAAATCACCTGGTCCTGAAGTAAGTCTTACATTGCTGGGTTTTGACATGGTAGAAATAGATATTTTGCTTAAGGTTAAATTAGTGGAGTTAGCTATAAGCAAAAAACAAATTTGGCTCATTTTAACAGAAAAGAAATTTATTAAACAATATTGGGGCATGTAGAGTGTAAAGAGGGAGGGATACCTGTGTATACCTGCATTCAACTTCTGGGGACACTACCATGTTGCCACAAAGAGCCTAAGAAAAAGTCAGTGTGAGAACTGTAGCAAGAGGGCACAGGAGGTAGAGAAGTCACCTGGAGAGGATGTCAAGACTGTCAGTGTATAAACAGAGTACAAGCTAGTGTTCTTGGGCTCAAGAGATGTGGGGAAATCTGCTCTGATAATTCAATTATGTAGGAATGTTTTGTTGAAAAATATGACCCAACAATACAAGAGTTCTATATCCTATATCTGTATCCATCAATACAAGCAAGTGGAAATAGATTGCCGACACTCTACACCCAAATCCTCCAGATATCAGGGACAAAGCAATTTACAATCAGTAAATTTTGATTTTACAAATTTTTGACTGATTTTACAATCAATTTTTTCATATGACAAATTGCCAAGAATTTTAACTATTACATCTCAGTCCGTGTTTAACAACTTTCAGGACCCAAGGGAATAGATTTTATGGGTTAAGGATGTAGACGTTCCAATGATTTTGGTTAGAAATAAATGCAAACCAAGATATGAATGAATAGTTACAAAAGAACAGGGTCAGAATTTAGCAAGACAGAGGTGAAACTGTTACTCTTTTAAATCTTTTGCAAAATCAAAGATTAATGTTAATCAGATACTTATTACAAAGATAAGTAGAAAAACACTAGCAGCAAAAAGGAGCCTAAGAAAGAAATCATGTCTGATACTCATATCACAGTTAGCAGCAGATCTGAGCCTGATCACAGGAATGAAGAGCAGTTGCCTATTTCAAAAGTACGAGTATCCCAGTCTTCAAAAAACAAATCCAGCTGGCTGGTTAGCTCAGTTGCTTAGAGCAAGGTGCTGATAACACCAACATCCAGGGTTTGATCCCTGTTGATTAAAATGATCGGAGACGCGAAGGAAGACACAGCAGACGAGATGCAGGTGAAGAGCGGGGAGGCCACTGCTCTCTCAGGCAAGTAGCGCCGACCCAGCCACTGTTACAGCTTTTATTACATTTAGCAAGCTTGTGCATGCAAGATAAGCATTAATGCATAAATTCTGTTATACTTTTCTCAAGAGCAGAAGGC